TGAGCTTGTGCGGTGCCGCGACGACCTGATTTTAAGGAGCGGCGTAGGACCGCTCGAGCGAATAGAGTCGGAGGTCCGTATCATTGAGGTTCGATCGCTTCTTGATGGTTGAGTGCAAGTTTTGGCACCCACTTAGACCTGGATTTACCCTGAATGAACTGCCGAGACTGTCCCGTCAGGCAAGGCTGGGTGTTGCTACAGCATGGGAGAAGGTGCAACTTCTTGAGCGAAGTAGAGGGTGATGGCAAAGGTCGGGGCTGGTTTTCGGCGAAGTACTGTGGTTGCGGTATGGGCATTGAAGAAAAAAAACCACGTCGCTCACATTGCAGATATTGTGGCAAGCTCGTTTGGTTCCTTCTCGAGCGAGGGTGAAATTTTCCGCTCTTTGACGGCATGGTTGCCAGGCGAGGTTGGGGGCCGGCCCACACTTGTTCCAATGCTTGCGCATGGCATGGGTAGGGCTAGAGTTAAGGTCTCAACTAACTAAGTTTTGAGCACAATCGGAAAAACGGGGCTCATCGGTGACTGACTCCTAAACACCAATGTTGTAAAGTGTCTAAAGGCGGGACATATGTTTCATTCTTTTTTCCCCCGGTTTCTCACAGCAGTGCGGCCCCAAAGACGTTGCATTGCGCACCTTTCAAGGCCGCGTGCTATTTTTCAGTGTTGACAGGGGTTTGGTTAGTGTTGAATGCCCAATGAGCCCCAGCATAATAACCACACTCAGTCCTATATTTGCTGCCCCTTACGTCGACCCGACTCGTTTTCCATAGTCTCGTATATATAGGCAGGGCCGTTGTTCATACATCAGCATCGGTTGTTGTGATGGCAGTTGGCAGCAAGTACGCTCATGATATCCAATAAACCGAGACACGACTCACCTTCAGGCAGCAACAGATCAGTGTCAGCACAAACGCCAGAAACAAAAGCTTCCAGGTACGGTCACTCTTCATCCGGTCATCGGTGCCCTGAAAGAGAAACCTTGCAGACAACCGCGAAGACACTGCAGGGTTTAACATTGCGCATCTTCCTGTGGCGGTCTTTCCAGCACTTGTGTAAGTAATTTCTTTCACCTAAGGTTGTTTTGAACAGAGAACAGAGGCTCTCGACTCTGCCGTTAATTGGTCGAGATTACAAAGCTGACCATATGTGCAAGGCAAACTGCGGACATCCATCCCGGCCGCCTGCTGCCCCCCCCCCCCCCCCCCCCCTTCAAGTCATCCAAGAACATAATTCGAACCTAGCCGCCGAGGGCCTAGGAGGTTCTACAAATCCCTCCCTCTCCGACGAAGCACGAAGCTCAAAGTACCCAGCGGAATCACATGTGCAGCGTACACAGCTCGAGATATAAACCACACTGTTCCCGTGGGAAGCAGAAGAACGAACCCAAGCACAGAAAAAATACGCGGAGGGAGGAAAGTAGGCGTATATTTGCTATGGAGAGGACGTCACCACACCCCTCCCCTCTTTAGCTGCCGCTTTTCTCACCGTTACGTGGCGTTTCTCGCCGCTTATCGGATACCAATCCTTCATGTACTCCGTTGCCACGAGCAGAACTGGCACCACTTTTTCAACTCTCCCACCACAACACGGACCCCCTAAGTTTTCTCCGGCATTCAACGCTCGTGTCGACCTTTTCCCGCACACCACGACCGCCGCCGAGTCTCGAGTTCCCTTGCCGGATACACTCGAACAACGCCGACATCGAAGGATCGAAAAGCGACGTCACCATAAACGCTTGGCCGCCACAAGCCAGTCCCTTTCTACCAACACCCCTGTTGCTAGGCCTGCCTTCACAACTTTTCTCGGCTACGCAGTCGGTCGACGCGGCACCCTCTCGGATGGGAGTAGCCCGGCGTGGTGCCGACTCGTACAACCAAGCACGAGGGCACCCCAGATACGAGACGAGACTAGCTAGCCTTCTCTCCCGACGAGAAGCTCGGCGAGATCTAACAAAGCTGCTCAAGGATTTGAGTCTGAAAACATCGCCAAAACTCAATATCCTGTTCGTCCCATCTCAAGCACACCGAGCGAGCTGATGCGTTTGAACACACTTCATCTTAGCCTTAGAATACAAATAACACTTCTTAGCATTCTGACACCACACTTAACTCAGAAGGAGCTGAGTTGGATGCAGCGTCTTACCTACAGCTAAATGCGCAGCAGGGAGGACCGGCTGATATTTCGGTCTTGGTTCGCTGGAAGTTCTGACGGAAAGTCGTCGACCACACGCCGGACGGCCGAAGCCTGCTAAGGGCATCTGCACCCAGATGCAAAAAGTTGCCGTACAGTTGCCGGCTAATGGCACTCGCTCTCACAATCCTACATGCCGCTAGGCTGCGGTGCTTGGAGTAAGTGCATTTGCTGTGGCCTGGCTGCTCGATCGGTGCCGCAAGGTCCTGTGACCATACTTAATGTGCACTGATTGCCATTAGGGATGCTGCTACTGGCAAAAGGCAAAGGCAGCCTAAGATTGAAAGAGTCGGCAAATCGACTCAAGTTGCTTTAATCAAACCTAATTGGATGGATCATTTTACTGACATCACCATTTCACAGCTGTCCGAGAGGAGTCTGGCAAGTTGCTGCGAAAGGCATGGATGGCACATGCCAAGCCCAGGTGGAAGCAAAAGGGGCAAAAGCTTTGCTGTTTCTAGGAAAAGGGAGACTGTATCCATGGGTAGCTTTGTTCAGGCCATTCAACGCCCGTGTTAATATTGAACTTAGGCAAACATCTTTTATTGTGTACATTTAGAAGAAGAGTTGAAAGCTTTGTAGACACCGAGTGAAAAGGAATCATCCTTCTGTTGTAGCTCATGTTGTGAACTATCAGCTGCCGTCTTCTCTAAGAAAAAAGTTAGGTTTGCATATGAATCAATACATCACAAAAAAATATTGATGGAGAATACTAACAGCAAAGCTTGAAAAGCGAGGCTTTTGAAAAGCAAAGAACACACAGTACGAAACGAAATAAATCAAACTTCGAAATCAAACAAGAGAGTATCCGATTTTTGAGTGAGAACCACTGACACTCTGTCCCTTTCCCTCCCCTCCCCTTTTCCTTACGAAACGAAGTGCCTAGATAGGTAGTGAAGCAATGAACTCCCACCAAGCTCAATATGATCGAACGTTCTTAATCACGAGAAAACTGTTTTCTTTTCTTTCCGCTTTCTCCCCCTGGAACTGGGCTGTCTTCTTTCTTCGTCATATCTCAGTATGTGACGCCTGTGCCGCCGTAAGATTTCAAACTCCAGGTGCCGAGGATCCACCCGCGTATTATTCAGTTTCAGTCGTTGGATGCACGCTCGTTCGCAATCAATGCAATCATGCGCCCTGATTGATTTGTTCAGAGAACGAATTTCCTGGCTGTCCTCGATGATACCTGTGCAAGTTGCGTTAACATTCATGTCAGTTGTCATTAAGAGACCGGTTTAATGGACCAACAAGAAGCACGTATTCGTCGATTTGGAATGAAATGGACAAACCGAACATAGCTCGAATATCGCCAGTCCCTATCTTTGTGTCATCTACGAACGTCTGTTGGAGCTGTCCATCCATCTGAAAAAAGAAAAAAAAAAAGGAAAAACCAAGTTCGGCCCTAATGTTCAGCATGTGTCCCTCGATCGAATACCGCCAGTCTCTATCTTTGTGTAATCTTCGAATGTCCGTTGTGGCTATCCATACATGTGGAAAAAAAAACCAAGCTGGGCCCAACGTTCTCGATGTACCATGCGTTGGGACACGAAGCACACACAATCCACGACCGGAGACCTCGTCGTCATCATCATCACCCATTTTCTATGCCTGACAAGTCTAAACCCGCATTTGTATTGACCTTCTCTTCTTGGTACCAATCAGGTTTGCCAACCTTCGGCCGTGTAACGACGAGAGTTCCAGGGTCTGCTGGGCGTCATCGGCGCGGGGAAGCACCAAAGTCAGCTAGTCCAGTGCTTCATTGGGCTGGTAGACGTGGCGGCTTCTTGTAGGATCTTCCCGCATCGCTGGGCCAGAGCCAGTGAATCCAACTGTATGTAGGTTGATGTCAGCGCCAGTAAAGAGACGGGGGGAGCAAGGGTATTTTGGACGAACCTCGACCCTTAAAGCCGTCAGGAGCTCGGAACATGCTAGCGTTCGCGTATAGCAGCCGCAGCTGCAGAATGGGTGAACCGTGGGAAGAACGCTTCGATGCCTTGAGTGTCTTGGAATCTGCTCCGAGCTTCATGGTAGAGCCATAATGACCAATTCGAAAGTAGTAGTAGCTGGCGGATCGTAGACCCGCGCGGGTCTCCCAGGTGAAGGGAACGCAAAACCGGGGCAGACCATGGGGAGACCGTCGTGAAACGGGATGTTCACGTCCTTGAGTGTCTTGGAATCGGTTTCAAGCTTCATGGTGGAGTCCATGATGACTGATCCGTAGTTGTTTGCGGATGACGGACCCTCGCGGGTCCCCCAGGTGAAGGGAACGCACAACCGGGGCAGACCATGGGGAGACCGTCATGAACGGGATGTTCACGTCCTTGAACGTCTTGGAATTGGTTTCAAGCTTCATGGTGGAGCTCATGATGACTGATCCGTAGTAGTTTGCGGATCGCGGACCCTCGCGGGTCCCCAGGCTTTGCTTTGAAGGGAACGCACAACCGGTTGTTTACGTCCTTGAGTGTCTTGGAATCTGTTTCAAGCTTCATGGTGGAGCGCGTGATAACCGATCCGTGGTAGTTGGCGGGTCGCGGGTCTTCAAGGTTTGCTTTGTAAAGGAAAAGAAGAACCAGGGACCGGAATTTTGATTTTGGATGTCCTAGTGCGTTTTGGATTCGGTCCCGAGCTTCATGTGGAGCCCATGATGACAAATGCGTGGTAGTTGGTGTATGGCGGGCCCTCACAGGTCTCCCAACTCAGGCCACGTAGGTGGTTGGAAGTCTTAAGCTTCGGAAGGTTGGAGAACGGGGCTGCATGTACCCTCTCTCCCCTTCGCCTTCCCAGAAGGGAACACACAATCGGCCCAAGGTCTTATGGTGTAACGGTAGCATTCCTCTGCTTCAGCGGAGGGAGTCTGCGTTCGATTCGCAGTGAGAGCAGTGGCCGGTTGATGTGTTCCCTTCTTTTTGCATCGTCAAGGTATTTTCATGACGAAATCTCTCTCGTGTTCCTCCACCGTGAGTGCTAAGCCACCAGTCCCCAAACTTCAAGCTCCTTCTTCTCACTCGACTACACTAGCGTGGGGCCATGGCCCAAATTGAGTGGATCCCAAACCAAGTCTGAACAAGTAGAACTGGCAAATTCCGAGAAATGGATGAGTTGCCCAACAGGAGTAAAAACTGCAGCAACTTGAAAGTGCAGACAGAGTACCTATACAGAGATCCATATCAGGTCCTCGGAGGCCACTCCATGGGCGGAGCCTTCAGTTACATGACCCGCCGTTTCCAAGAATAAAAGAAGATAAAGATATTCTCATCACCCATGCGCGTTTGTTTGTGAGGCCGTCTGCGATCACAACAAAACAATCCGACTTTCGATGCGGCCATCCACGCGCCCTAAAATCAACGTTCCCTGTGAAAGACAGAGAACTCACAGTAAAACTGCAAGCTTTTTTTTAAAGTCCGTGATATTATTCGAGATTCGTCAAGAACGTTTCCGACAAGGGTCTCGCGTCCTTCTCGGTGGGCCACGACCTCAGTGACCACCTAGGCAGTGGCTGCTACTACCCTAGCAACCGTTGCTGCCGCACCCGCAACCACATACAAACCTGCTGCAACGGCGATGACTTGCGCAACTCAGGCTGCCACCACCCTCTAACCAGGCCGCAACCACTTTCACCAAGGCAACAGTAGCTCCGGTTACGACTTCCATTCTTTCTTACCCCGGCACAATCTTCGCCCCTATTTCCTGACCCGTTACCTTCCCCGGCTGTTGGGGCAAAGGCCCAAGGTCTCAGCGTCGAGGTATCACGTCCCTCACATGTTGTCGCAGGGTGTCCACCATCGCGCCCTGAAACGGCCATTTCCTGGACAACGGACTCAGACAACAGATTCCTGCATTCAGGATGGAGACCGCATTCCAGCATATGCCTAAAATATAAATACTTTCTACATTTAGCATAATATGGCCTAAATAATGCATGCCAGACGATCATTATTTTGTCTCCATAATAAGCCCAAAATCACACTGATATAAAGCGCCTAACAAATCATCAACCTACTACATTTATTTTATTACTACCGATTCCTGTGACAGTTGCGGAGCTCGATTGCGCCTTAGTCAGGGCCGAAATGAACAAAGCGGAGGAAGGAGATTCGGTTGGGGTGGAAGGTGCGGTTCTGAACTTCCTGATGAAGCCACAGAAAGGTATTCCTTCAACGCAGCTGTCCCAAGACTGAAAACTCGCAGCAGGGCCCGGCTGTACCCGCCACCACCGCCGGCTGGGGTAGCTTCGCGCGGTAGGCACAAATGTCCTCGGGTCTCCCAGGCCCGGCGTCTCCATGACAATGAGTAAGGGCAGCATACCGGCGTCTTTCTGAGACCTGGAACTCAATCACAATTTTTCCAAGGCGCCTGGGGGTCGACTCGCAACCCTGTCCCCCGGGTCCTCCACCAAAGGCGACGCATGACTCCTTGTCGACGAGAATGCCACTAACAGTGGTTTCAGCGCAACTCGAGGGCAGAAGGGCCGAGCAGCTCAACCGCGGGGGCAAAGTAGGCACTCATCGCGGTGAGCTACAGTTCCAAGGCCTGGAAGTACTCGGCGCCAACCTTCTTGGCTTTAACTGCGTTATATTCGATGCTGTATGGAGACCTAGTGTGGTGAGCGACGTCGGAAACTAACAACTGCAAGGAGATGAAACGAAACCTGCATCTTCCACGATGAGGTACGGCGGACTTGGTTTGTCGAGCGAAACTAACACCGGCAAAGAAGGGTTACAAAGCACCGGATGTGGCAGTGTCTACTTTCTAGCTGTATTCAAATGACGGCGAGTGGCTCCATTCTAAGGTGTGCGAATGGCCATCTCCATGTCGGCGAGTGACAGTGTGAGCCGGTCAGTGATCTTATCATTAGGCATCTTAAATGCCTGCTTGCGGCTGCTGGGTAGTGGTGTTGTTGATCCGCCCGAGGAACCGTTGGGTAATCATGGCATTATCGTGGTTCTTCTGCGACGCGTGCTGCTGGCCGACCATGCTGCCATTCTGACCCGTCTCCTGGTGAGTGTGGGAGATGCCGTTGGTGCGGCCATCGTGTTGACGAGCGTGGATAATGCCGTCGGCCTGGATTAAGTGGGCGGGTGAGAGACTAAAGTGTGGAGTCTTGGAAGTCTGCATTGGCTTGCTTGTTTTTTACCTGAGGGATGCTCCCCCATCCACTACCTACTTATACTAGAGAAGTCCCCAGCCACTCGCCTGTCGTAGGCCCTGCAGGAGCCCCGCTCCATAGATTACCGTGCTCTGTAACCGAGGTAACAGTTGCCATGAAGCTCTGGAGCTGGCCATCGCGAGGTAGGTGCGCTAGGCTGAATCGAGCATTCTGGCTTGACAGCTAACTAGTACCTTCCCGCCGTGTTCGGTGGACTCGCCCTCCTGGTATGTATTGCCAAGCTGAAGAGGCTCTCGTTCTCCCCTTGGATCGCTCCTGATATGTATTGCCAATCTGAAATGGTCTCTCGTTCTCCTTTTGGGTTTTATTTTCCCCGTGTCGGCAACCTGCTTGGCCGCGCTGCGCTGATTTCGCCGCCCTAGCGCGGAGGTGGTGCTCTGGGTCGACTGCCGGCGACTAGTTCCGTGCCTTCGACGTGAAAAGCGTGGGTATCTTCAGAAATGCGACTTGTCAAAGTTCTCCTGGCAGCTGATCTGGCATGGTGCTCACATTTTATCACCAAGAAGGTGGTCAAAGTGGCATCCAGGCGGCACTCGACAAATATGATGGCGGAAGGGTTGCTCAGTTATGAAGGATTCGGCAGTAGGATAATTGTCTTAATCTCATCGCCATTGATGGTCGATGTCGCACTAGTGTAGGTCGATATCTTTGCTTAGGCAATGGTAACATCGACTCTGGTATTGAAATCTCAAATGACCGAGCCGGTGTTGGACAGGTATTGGGTATAGTAACATAATTAGCAGTGGAATGGCTCAATGGTTCTTACTGGTTGTGCCATGCGCGATCGGCGTCGTCTTTTGCGGCAAGACATCCTCCTCCATGCTGTCAACTCCTTCAAACTCGCCACTTCCGTTCTCCATAACATGGAATGTAGCCACGAAGGAACTTAAATTCACCTGCATAGTCGTTGACTTCGTCGCCGTGCTGCACCCCAGGCACTGCCCATGTCGATGCTGGCTCTTATTGAACACCTGGAAGCTCCGCCCTCCACGCAACAGCAACGGAAAGGTAGTAGGTGGGGCGAGCCGAAGGCTCGGAAAAGGGTATAAGATCGATGATTCCTAGAAGAGGAAGCGGTCCCTGGAGCAGAGTTTTTATCTGGTATGCGCATAGGCACCGTCTAGTCCACCGTGCCCTTCACTACGCTTGCGCACGGGACCACTAGTGCAAGTGGTCGGCGGCACCCGCGTGCTGCATGGGCGAAACAACTGGATGCCTCGGTAGGCCAACGGTAGTAAGCTGCGGGGCGACGCCGTAGGACGGCCTGTGTCAAATGACACAGGGTTGCGATTTCCCCAGCTCATTATACCGACAAAGAAGGCTGTGGGAGGTTTTGTGCTCCATATAACGAAGGCCGGGACTACGACTGCTTGCCCGGATCTTTCTGCCACTTCGTCCCGCACGGAAAGTAAGCCAAATCCGCGTCATTTAACTTTTGGGCTGAAATGCTGGCTCTCGTCGGGAAGGGAGGCTGTCGCTTTCGTATCTGAAGTGTCCTCATGCTTGTACGAGTCGGCACCGCCGCTGGACGAGTGAGGCGAAGAGGGACTTTGTACATTGAAAGGAGCATAACAATTGGGGTGGACCATGGAGAATATACCTTCACCTCGGGCACATAGATATCCCAAGGCTGGCAAAATTGAACCCTGTCTCTCGTGCCTGCGCCTTAGTTCCAAAATTTGGACACCGGCGATTCAATTTCTCCTGTGGGATAGGGGGCGCGGTCTCGAAATCGGCCCCGAACTTCATGGTAGAGCCCATGATGACTGATCCGTAGTTGTTGGCGGATCGCGGACCCTGGTGTGGACCATGAAGAGACCGGGGATGTCGATCTCCTCGAGCGTGTCGTTAAGCAAAGGCGTCGGCCAGACCAGGCTCGGGCTGTACGCCGCGAAGTTCCAGTCGACCCAATCAGGCGGCCCATTCGGGAAGGTACCAGGCGGCAAAATTTCAGGAGAGCTTTGAACCAGGTCCTCGCTTACAACATCAGTGAGATCGGGGTATGGGCTCTCGCTCCCTAGGCGGTGAAGCACTGCGCCGGCGATCCCTCGAGGAATTCTCGGTCTGAGTCACTTGATCATCTTGCCGATGACGGCGCACTCCTCAGCGTTTTGGAGCGCTTGGGTACCGAACAAGAAACATATCCGGAAACGAAGGCGGCCCAATCTAGGATAAACTGCTTGGTGGCGGGAATCAAAGCATCGTGAAGCCTTGGGGTGGGACCTTCTTGTTCCTGAACCTGGGATTGCTGCTCCTCAAGGGATCGCCAAGCGCAATTTCATGGTGGTAAACTCAGTCATGTACTCGGATATTGCCCGACTTCGTTCAAGTACCCATCATCGAGTGCCAATAAAATCCATGTTACGGTTTGGCTCGACCGAATACCGGCCGGCTGTGCCCTCTTCTGTCGAAGTCTTAGGCGTAGAGCCGCGTAAAGGCAGCTGTTAGAACTGCAGACCGTGGGCTAACCTCTCTTGCTTAAGTCGCCAGCTGGCAAGAGACCTTTTTGCCAAAACCATCATAGTACACACAGTTGACTAGTTTACTCTCTGTGGCAGCCCTTCGTTTGCGAGCTGTTCCTCTGATCTGACGCGGCAGGCGCAATCCCCTCCTTCACGATTGGACCTCGTCGATGAGGAAAGCTCAACCATCTGGAGAAGTCTGCGATGGTCTTGCCACTTTCAGGTGATCTCAAAATGTTTACGCTGCTGG